CCCCCCCCCCCCCCCCCCCCCCCCCCCCACCTTATTCTCCGCCAAACACAATACAGCCGGTGGGGGAATAGACCGACAAATCTTGGTTTGTGATTTTCTGATCGCCATTGTTTATTCCTCCGCATTCGCCTCCCCTTGGTCCTGCTGCCGTGTGAGTGTGTGTGCGTCGGCTTCGCGACTCGTCCCATACATACTCCATCCGTAGTCCCTCTCCTTGCACCGAGAATCCCGGACCCGGAGCGGTCCACCACGCCTGTGCCGTTTTCCTCTCCTCTTCTCCCTCTTCTGCTCCTCTTCTCTCCTCGCATCCGGCTGCTGGACCCATTCGTTAGGCTCGGATTAGTGCCGCCATGAGCCAAGGACCCCCGATTCAATCTCATGCGCATCTCCCATGAGTAACAGAGCGGCACAAGCATGCGATGGATGCAGGGTGCGCAAGGTCAAGTGCAATAGCACGCAGCCTTGTTCGCAATGCTCACATCTAGGCCTTGGGTGCATCTACTCGCCATCAACCAAGCGCAAGCCCAGTGTCCGCAACCGCCTTGTTACGCAGCTTCGCAACAAGTCAAATGTAGCAGCAGCGGCTTCGCCGAGTCGCGGCAGCACGTCGTCACTGGCTGACTATCCGGAAAGAAGACCACCGGGCCCGGCGGTCACGTCCATCGCTGGGATAGTGAATCCGGAGCAAGATGCAACGCCCATTAGCATCAGCGGCGGAATTGGTTCTGGAAGAGGGGGCGCGGGCATTGGAGCTGGAGTTGGAAGCGGCTTTGGAGGGAGTGGTATGGCCATGGACTCGAGAGGCGGCTTTGGCGCAGAGTTTTCCTTGGAGCATTCTGCCTTCACCACGGGCTTCTTCATCGGCATGCTGCCCAAATATGAGGAGCAGGTGTACCCAGTAAGCCCCATCATCACGAGCTATGAGGTGCGCCAGGCAATCGATGGCATGCACGCCAACCTCGACGACGCAGCGTTCGTCTACGCAATGGGGGCGGTGACAATCAATCTCACGACTCCCACGGTGCATGGTGAGGCGGGTGCCAAGATGACGGAGCTGATACGGCTCGGCCTCAGCGCGTATAGACGGGCAGACTCGATGGCGGACGTCAAGAACGGGAGGCTGACTGAGCTGCGGACCACGTTTAAGCGCATCATGACATGCGTCTTCCTTGAGGTTTCCATGATGGCCTTTAACCGCTTCGACCGCAGCTTTGCCTCGCTGCGTGAGGCCATGACGATGGTGCAAATGATCCACGTCCAGCAGTGCTCGCACAACGCAGTGCCCCTTGAACCGCGTGACGTGCCCAAGTTCCAACGTATATACTGGGAAGTGTTTATCCACGAGCGCTTCCTGACAATACTCTCTGGGTTCCCGTGCATCATGACGCCGCTGCCTACGGGCCTACCAGTGCGAGACGCATCGATCCCGGCGCATATCGACGTCGGATTCAACCGCCTCATCCGCCTGTTTCAGATCATGGACGGGCCCTTTTTGCTGTACTGGAATGCGCAGCAGAACCCGGCGCAGCCCGTGCCGGGGATATCACTGCAATGGATCGAAAGCAAGCAGGCCCAGCTCGACCAAGACGAAATCGGCGCATCCGAGGCCGAGCAGGCACTGATTGACAGCGGCCGGGGGTCCTTTACGGAGTTGCAACACGTCGATCTGTTTGTGACCAGGCTGTGGATGCGCACGCTGCTCTGGCAGTTTGGGCTCACGCACCGCTTTCTTCGCTCGGTGCCATCACAAAACATCCACGAAGGCTTGTCAATCCACTTCCCCGCGCATAGACTCTCTGTTCAGCTGCGAGCCCTCGTCAGTCGGCTGGAGAACGTGTCCACCATTGTGACACACGGCATTGGCATCTTGCAGAAGATATTTGAGATTACGAGCACGGCGGCCGACGTGCTTGCGCTGCCGGTGGGCTACGGCCAGACGCAGGAAGAAATAAGTAGCCGGATAGAAGATTTTGCATTCTTGGTCAAGTTTTTGTTCAGCTTTGAGAGAGCAGAAAAGGAACAGCGAGACTACCTGCGTGAGAAGCTCGAGGGACTTCAGCAGCAGTACCCCATGGTGAACTTTGCCGACATGGTTGGGTCGAGCTCATACTGATTCTGAGTAATACAGAGTATCAGCGCCTGTAGGAAACTGGCACATGATTAGCATGTCTCTCCTTTTGTTTTTCATTTTCCTTGCATAGGTAGGCTTGGGGTTTCTCGTGGCACTTTGGTGCAACTCAAGGCACCGTATACGACAGCTAATATTAGAACTCACCCCGTCCCAAGATGCCCCCCATGTTTGTGTGAGGCCTTGTGCCGCGTCGTTGGTGTCAGACTCAGCCGCACCTTGTGGCCAGAAGCTTGACTTTGGCACAGCTGGACGAATCATTGGGGAGGCGGATGTGGCAACGCCAGGGGCTCTCAGAGAAAAAGGAAGCACGAGTAGATTCCCCGGTATGTTATGCACTAGGGATGCCGGAAGTAATGCCCGAGTTGCCGTGCGAGCGTACATGTACGTACATGGCAGCAGGCAACGGCTTTGTTTCGCTCGCTAGACAGGGAGAGTGCATGCATGTGGGATTGAGTTATTGACTGGCTATTGCCATCATCTGTCTGGGCGGACAGACTAAGATCGTCGGCAAGTCGTAGTCTCAAGACCACAGCGGGAGCGGCGTGGCGGGGCCGAGCGCTTAGGGAGGCTCTAGTTGATTTTGAACGTTGCCATCGTGGCCTCCCTGGAGTACAAGTGTGTACAGTAGAGTCCCACACTGGAGACGGGGATGGTGAGATGTGGCAAATGAGGAGAGTTGAATGGATTCATGTCAAGTTGTGAATGCAAGATTTGTGTCGTCGTCGTTTGTTTTCTTCTTTGTGTAGGTGGTTTTGAGTTGAGTCACGGGACAGCGGCGGGTTGGCAGGGAAGGCGCTGTAGACGCTCGCCTATTTATCGCTTCATGATGTCAGTTGAAACCGGAACTGGAAGCTGCATTGGCTCTCTTTGAACAAAACGGCAAGCGACTATGGGGTACGGAGTACAATTGAAGCCATCACAAAGTGAATGTACCTCTTACATGCCGCCCATGTTCCATACCTTACCTGTATCGTACCTTTTACAGCCAAGGGTTAGTAAGGTACCTATCTCGGATCGGATTCAATCAACATCAGGTACGGATACATGTGCCTACTAGAGGTAGCTGTACGGCACACATGCTCCACTGCTCATGCATGCAAGCAAGCCCCCTACAAAATACAAAAACTATCAGGTGACGCCTAAAAGGCTTCCCATGCCAATAAGACCTGCAGCCGTTGATCCCAGCTTTCGGTGTCGTGTCGCAAAGCCAAACAAGCAAATAGGATCAAATAGCACAGCATGCCGGGAGAAGCAAAGAAGCATCTACCTAGTACCTAGTAAGAAACAGTAAATGTGACGTGTACTTGCTCCGAACAAATCACTGCTCCCCCCTTGCATATGCTAATGCATCTCTTGTTATTGTCCGGTACTCCGTCAGCCTCTCCGTATATCGGTTGGACATGCGAGTTACTTTGTGCTGTGAGAAACCCCCCGAGTGCTTGTCTCGGGTTCGAGACCGTTGAGACTCTTTTGGCGCCCGCAGGTGACTGGAGCGGCGTTCGCTGGGAGCGGCTGGCGCGGCCTCTTTCTCGTACTTGGTACCTCGATTGTGAACTCGTCTCACCGCCGGACCTGTTCAGGATGAGGGAGTGTTCAAGTATAGATACATTAGCTGTGTTTCTCCGTTTTGCTTCTTCTCTTTTGTTTTGTTTTGTTTTCTTTTTTATACATCATATTTGCTTTGGACCGGCCGAGGCCGAAACAAAGGGTTGCCCTCGCATTGCACCAGATCAATGCAACTTTGCAGCTTACACCGGTCCACGATGGCCTCAGCCGCCAGCCAATAAGACCGACACACTTGCCGCACTACTACCTAGTAGTGCTGTCTTGTCTGTCTTGGGTTGTCCCGCATGAAAACGAATTGCATGCGAGGGGGCGGCGTTTCTACCTTTGCATCTACTTCTTTCCAATCTTGCCTCCCGTCTCACTGTCTGTCTGTCTGTCTGTCTGTGTCCATGTCTGTGTCCATGTCTGTACAGTAGCAACTCACCCGCCAACTGAACCGCCTCTCTTAATCCCGTCTCCGCACTTTAGGTCTTACTGGTGGGCTCCTGATTCGACATCCATGCGCTGTCATGAGTCCAGATCCAAGGGCCTGTTCACCTTATCCACCACAGCCTCGCTCAGGGTCCAGGTCCAGCCCAGGTCTCTATCGGCGCCTTGGTGCTACCGTAGGCTAGTGCTTCGTACAGTAGGTACCACCAGTAGATGGGGATTCATGTTCTGGTCTCTTCTTCGGCTCCAGCTACTGTATCCATTCCCTCTTCCTTTTTTTTTTCAGGGTCCCCCTCTAAATCAAAGCCGCCTCCACTCACGATAGTGGCATGTTACTAAGGCACCAACGCCCCGAGAAATCGTTACGCCC